GATCACTGTTTGCTGTTTTGCCACACCCATTCCCCTCCTCTCTTCCTCAACAGAACTCTGGGTGAGACCATTTTATTAGTGAGTGGGAGTTTTAACGTTTTAAATTAAGCACTGTAGAGCAATGTTTCCCAACCCCGGTCCTCAAGGCACACTGCCCTGCATGTTTTAGAGGTTTCCCTGCTTCAACACGCCCAATTTAAAATGATTCCAGTTCAGAAAAAGCTTGTTAATCAGCCATCAATTGAAATCCTGTGTGTTTGATTGAGGGGTAGATGGGCCAGGTTGGGGGAAAGGTGTGTGTGTCTTTGGCAGGTGGAGGGAGAGGGGTTGGGCGTTTGAATGGCGGGTGGTGGTGGAGAGGTGCAAAAAACAACTTACACTGATTGAACATATATTACTAGTTCTTCCCCAAACCTTGTTCATTCATTAGATTTCAACCACAAAACAACATTGATTCAATGACAGTTTCAATGGTTAGAATTGGATGGTTATTTGATGTTTGATCCACCGTCAGTTTTTGACTTCAACCAAAAATCAGCCATTCTGACTATAATTCAACGTTGATTTAGCATCCTGTGCAATCTGGGTAGTGTAATAACATCACACTGCTACAAATGGATCACGTTACCAACACTTACATGATGAGATAAGGCTTTAAGACCTTTTCTTGCCTCCCAACAGTGTCGTAGTAGTCAATGCCAACACCTTATCTTGGAATGACTCAAGAACAAAAAAGATTAAGACTCCGAGGGAAGCGAGACTATGAGCAAACCACTGAGACCATTTTCATGAGTACATTCATAATAGTTTTTGTCTGTAAATGTTTTAATAAAATCTGCCAGTGGCAGTTCAATAGCAAATTCTTTGTGTTTTCAAAAAGCAAATGTAATTATTTTATGCAGTCAGAAGCATTTGCTCAGTAAAAACTTGATTGCACCATATGTGTACAGATATTTTCTCTTTTAAATCAAATGACATAATGCTGTTTGTTGTTGTAAACATTCACATGCAAGCCCAAGACCAGGCAAAAATAGTTTCCAGGCTTCAGAGCTTCCACCTCACAGAGCAGCCCTCCCCAGTGTCTCCCTGACTCAGCTCCTCTAGACTAACCAGCAGCAATTAGCAAACAGCTGGTGGTCGGTCTCAGATGTGTGCATAATACTTCATTCCTCTTGACGTTATAAAGTTCTAAGATTATTTCTGACCATAAATATGACTGTAGTAATATAATTTGGAATAAGAGGTTTTAAACAAAAGCATGAATTTTGTCTATTGGATGCACAGGACGAAAAGTGGGATTTTTGACCCTGTATTCTGACGCAAACTCAGCTCATCAGCGATAGATAGACAGCAATAGACAGTCTACGTTTTCACTCACGGGAGTCGAATTCTGTCGAATGCGGAATCCTGGAGGAGGGGGAGAGTGGCAGTGCGGGGCAGCGGGCGGGCGGGAGGTGTTAACAACTCTACTTAGCATACGAATAGCCTAGCATATGCAAAGGCGCTTCAGCAGACCCAAGTGGATTCTCATTGGATGAAAAACAATGACATCACAGTTCATTATTGACATGTGATTGGTTGGTTGATGTGTGCCCATTGGACAGCACTTATGACTTTATAAATAAACCCCACCCCAATCATTAATATTTTTAATGCTGTATTTTACAAAATCTATATAAAAATAAACGCTGTATTGTATAAGCATTTGATATTGCTTATATGCAACATGTTCATATATGAGGAACATAAAAGTGACAAAGAAGCTTTTTTTTTCTTTATTTAATTTTATTTTTTTACTGTTTGCACATAAAATAAGATATAAATGCTTGTCCATTTCTGGACCATCTGGCAGTGTTTTTTTGTCCAAACATGATCAAATTATGCTGCGTTCAGGACAGGCCCAACATCTCTCCTGTAGCATAGACCTGACGTCTCTTCCTGTAATGTAGTCCTGATGTCACTGAGCTCCTGGTTGGAGGAACTTGGGGTCCATCCTGACACCGCCTCATAGCTGCCATCCTCCCAGAATGCCACCTCCTCTGCTGCCAGTACTCTCTGCCTTCCTCCATCAGCTGTTAACACAGAACAGATAATCATTATGAGCTACAGGCATCTTTTAGTCATTATGAAACTACAGTGAAATTGTTTAGCTTAGTATGCACACATAAGACATTAAAACAAAAAACAAAACACATTATATTAATACATTCTTACAGAAAATAAAAACTAATGAAAAAGAGAAAACACTTGGAAGAAAAAATAATTAAAAGCAGTTGGTAATAAATAGCAAAACATAGTTCAACAAACTCTGAGGCAGATAATTTGCTTTGATGGATTTTAATAAATCACAGTGCTTTAATCATTCAAGGAATTGTGACATCTCTAGATTAGTAATAAATCTTACCTGCTTCTTTCTTTAGCTACATCTGGATGACTGGCAGTAGGTCCTGGATGCAGCTGGAAAACATTTTTGTGCATTGTCATGTACATAATTACATTATGTACATAAACAATATTGAAGCATAAAATATCATCAACATTCTAAAATAGTAGATACTCACACACAGTTGCGTCTCTGTCACGGACATCAGGACGTTCCTGAAGAGTCTGATTAACACAAATGTGACTCCCATTCTGTGGAGTGTCTGTGGAAATAAATGTAAAATTAAAAAAATATTGTAACAAATATATCGCTTTCTCAAAAATACATAAGTAAATAAGTTAAAATTATTCTCAACCAACCATTGTACAGGCGGGAATCAATGCAGTGACTGTACATAATACATACCGGCTTCATGGCTCCGTCCGCCATGTTGTCTATCTCTACTGCTTTCCACACTCTGCCTTGCTGTACTGCGTAATAACAAAATAAATAAAATAACGGGAAGATCAGTTTTCCTTACAAATATGCGAGTGTTCACTATTGACTAAATGTGAAATCATAACTTAATGAATTTCTCTTCATCCTGGTGGACTCCGTTAGAGCGCCTCGGCACCGTGGTCTGAGGCCTGGCTGTGGAGGCTTAGCCATTTTTCTGGTCTGAAAAAAATAAAAGAAGACGCGAGTATTTTTAAGAGTTCAGAACATCACATGTAATAAAAAATACAATACGAAATCTCACCCTACACTTGTTTTGAGATTATGAAAACGACAGACCGCTTTCTGTAAGAAACAAACAAAGCAACTCGCCTCGCTGCACGTGCTCACTATTCATAAAAGCTTTCTTACCTGAGTTCGGCCTTGTTGGACCGCTGCGGTGTCATCTGTTGTTTTCCGCCGGGACATTGCTTAATATCAAAACGATACTGAAAAGGTAACTCCGTGAAATAGGACTTTTTCCACCATTTCACACAACACACAAAAATACTTTATTTACAATGAACCACTCTGGAACATGTTTTTTATTATTATTTTTGATTAAATTGTGCAATTCCTCCCATCACAAGATAAATCTTCAGATGGGAGGAATGTCAAAGTAAGATCACGTTTCACAAAAGTCTATTGTATGTAATCATGCATATTCTTCTTTTATATCATCAATTCAACCAAAACTAAGTTTTGCCGTGCTCCTAACACACATGTAATGTATATTTTAATGGATAAGATAGATTGTTTTAATATTCTTTCTCCAAACAAACCTCTTTATGGTGAACAGAAGGTAAAAAGGGTTAGCTGCAAAAGGCGGTGCTCAACAGTTGATTTGCATTTGCATGGCACTCAGCAACTTCATTTAAATACAAAAACCTTTGCTAGGCACAAGGGGAGGAGGGTGATAGGGGAACACGGACACACAGCATTTTTGACCAATTTTGGCAGTGCTCGACTCTGACAAAAACCTCTTGCCGAAAGCCCTCAATCTCCATACGCACTGCAGAACAAGGTGTCAATAGCTGCCGAAAATCCCATTTTTCGTCCTGTGATGTATTCATCTTCTCTTTCTTGCTTTTATCAGAGGAAGAATCAGCTAAAGGAAGCTTATAGCAACAACTTGTGGGATGGAGCCAGAAAAACACTGGCTACCCTGTGGGATGGACATGGAGCTATATGGCATGGTATGAATAAATGTAAACTACTCCCCAAAGCATATAAAATGTGTTTATTTATAGCACTTGACTGTAAATGTAAAATCTCTATAATATATTATTCTATCTTGTGATATGATCTGTGTATCAGGTTATGAGATCCATGGAATGGAGAAGATTCCCAACAGAGGACCAGCTCTAATAGTGTACTATCATGGAGCCATACCTATAGATTACTATTACTTCCTGGCCCATGTCATCATTCAGAAAGGACGTACCTGCCATTCTGTAGCTGACCACTTCCTCTTCAAGATTCCTGGTACTTCAACTGTTTTATTTGTTCTGCAAATTGAGGCACATTACCGTCATTCAGAAATATTGCTGAGTGTGTTTTGAAGTCATTTCTATACAAAGAAAAAGCATATCTGCTGGACAGTTTAACAGCTACTAGTCCACAGCAGTCAGTCTAGTAGTCCATCATGTGGACTAAATTTCTGCTTTACTTTGTTGAACATGTCCATCCATCATTTGTCTTTCACTTGTCTGAGATCCGATCGCAGAGATAACTGATTCAGTAAAAAGAGCTCAGCTCCTCCAGACTAACCAGCATCAATTGGCAAACACCTGGTGGTCTCAAGTCTTCCATCCCTACTAATGTGTGCATAATGCTTCCTTCCTCTTGACCTTATAAGTTTCTGAACATATTTACAGAAATATCCCTTTGTGTGTATCTAATTTCTCCATTTTGCGTTCTTCTTCCAGGTTTCAAGTTGCTATTAGAGGTCTTCTCAGTGATCCACGGTCCTCAGGAAGAGTGTGTCCGGGCTCTGAGGAATGGCCACTTGCTTGGTATTTCTCCAGGAGGAGTGCGGGAGGCAATGTTTAGTGATGAGACCTACCGTCTTTTTTGGGGAAAACGCAAAGGCTTTGCACAAGTTGCAATTGACTGTCAAGTGGTGCGTTATGGCAAACTTCCTTATAACACTATTTAGATTATGGCAGTATATTTTCTTTATTCAGATTATTACATAAAGTTCATACTTCAAAACTCTTTCATAGTTAGGCGTAGTAAAATGACAACGGATAAACGATTAAAATGGCAGTTTTATGTAAAATCCACTTTTTTGAACTCTACACCATGTACTAATATTATTCCTTCATCAGAAACATACCTGGAGTGTTGGCTTAATTCTTTCAGGCATGTTTGAGAAATCCTTTAATTTCCATGGTAACCATTCAGCTGTGCAAAATGCCTGGGTGGACTGAGCACTGCCTTCGACACGCAGCTCCTCCTCAGAACTGCAGTTTTCAAGCTTCAGAGCTTCCGCCTCACAGAGCAGCCCTGCTCTGCCCCCCACTTAGCTCTGTCAGACTAGCCACCAGCAATTAGCAAACACCTGTTGGAACTGCACATCTGTTGAGCTTATTTTACTTGCTTCTTCTCAGTGAAACACTGGTAAGAACATTGTTAAAGGGTTACTGAAAGAGTTATGTTGTGATGACTTCCTGAAGGTGGAGTTTCAGAAAGAGCAGGAGTTTTTAAAGAGAAGAGGTCCAATTACACTTGATGCATTTGTCTCCTTGTAGCGGGTGTGCCTGTGTGGCTACTATCGATTGAGGCACACATCTACCTATCTGTAATGGATAGGTTTATAGATATATACATTTTATGTTAACTGTTAATGGTTCTCTCTGTCTACCTCTCTTCCTCTCTCTCTCTCTCGATCGAGAATAGAGAAAGCAGAGGTAAAAATCCATTTGAACCTAACTGTATATCAGTGTTGTTCTTTCAATGTCATTCGGAATATGGAACCTTTTTCAGCTGTAGCCTGACAAAGCAAGAGTCCCGTTTTGAGCCTCTTCGTTTTGAAAATCTAACATGCCTTGTTTCTTCTATGCTGTAGAAGAAACAAGGCAGGGTGTTTCTCAACCCTGGTCTTCTCCGCCTCCCTGTTCTGCATGTTTTATATGTGCCTCTATTCCAGAATAGCTGATTCAAATGATTGTATGACCATCAAGTACTGCAGAAGCTTGTTAATCACCCAGAGATACAATTCAGGTGTGTGGCAGAAGGAAAATACCTAAAACATGCAGGACAGGGGGCCGGTGAGGACCAGAGTTGAGAAACACTGCTGTAGACCAATGGTGTACTTTGTAAGTTCCCTCTCAATAGTCTTTCTCATGGAAGAACTATTCCTTTATCTTGAACAGCATCTATGAGCTTTATTTTGAAAAAAAAAAAAATGTGCAGCTGATAAAAATACAGTGACCTGTTGAGGAAACCCGCTGCCATGGAAACATATTGAAATCCTAATTGTCACTGCTTCCTACTTGTTACCTATAGTTTCCAAGACTGATTCAGCTACTGTTTAATCATTTGAGAAATCTGTAAGAATGTTTTTGTGTCATTTGGTTGATAAAATCCTATTGGGAAATCAGATTTCAATTGAGATGTTTATTTTTGATCCAGTTAAATATGCTCACAAAACCTACTCCAATATGTATGAATTCATGATTGATCATGATCATTGATCCATCTCTAAGCTTATTCTGTATGTTTTTCAGCCAATAATTCCAATGTTTACTCAGAATCTACGAGAGGGTTTCAGATCTCTTGGGACACTAAGTAAGTGAGGAAGATCTTGTGTGTTTTGTGTATAAGTGTTGAGGATTCTGTGCTTGTTAAACATGGCATGTTTCTGTGTCTGTCTGTCTGTATATGTATTGGTATCAGTAGTATTCTAATGATATTTGTACTTGTAGATACTATCAGGGCTTAAAGTAAAAAAAAAATCCTGAGCCTGAAACTTATAGTTATGATAGAAATTAACTATAGCGTTGCTATTGCCACAGTTTAATAAACAGTGTCTTTGAATAGTGCAAACAATTGCTTCTAACAATACATTTAACAAGCTAAACACTGAAACTTAAATAAGACTTCAGTACATTTCAACTCAAAACAAAATGTAAAATGTTTTTTACAGGCAAAAATCCCTCAACATTAAATAAGAGTCCTTTTAGTCAATGTTTTTGCTAGTAATTTAGAACATGCAACATTACCAACTAAATCAGTGTTTCTCAACTTTTTTTCGGGCCAGCGCCCCCCCAGCCTTTATTCAGGTCCCTCACCGCCTCCCAACAAAGAATTTGTAGACTACTTTGCACTGACTATTATTTTATCATTAATATTACTATCCCTATTGTAGATGTTTTGATTTTTATGCTTGTTTCTGTATTTATCATCACAAATAATTTCCCAGAGAACAAAAAAGCAATGTGAATAGAAATTATTTTCACAGGTGTCTATAAAAAATTTTATGAACAATCAACTTAAAATTTGTAGGCCAACAGCAGCCAATCAGAGTGCAAAAAATATTATTGTTCTTTCTCATTTTCTAGTTGTTAAATATTCCACAAAATGACCAGATAAAATATGTACAACATGCCAGTTTAAACTTTGAACTATTTACAAAACGACTGAGCTCTGCAACATTAAAACATGGATAGAACTGTAACTATATTAATCATAGCTCTTCTTCTCTTCAGTGTTTCTGTGGTTTCTGGTGGTGCAGCTCTGTGCTGCCTTCAGGAGAATGGGACATCAGAGTATCATCCATAAAATTTCACCCACATGCCATTTACTGTGCAAACCATAAATGCCATGTGACATTTACGGTTTGCATTTAAGTTTTTCAGTGTTTTTCCACTGAAAAACTTTTGTTTTTCAAAAAAAAAAAAATAATAATAACTTGGTGTACATGGTTTGAAAATGATTAAAAAGCTATTTTGTGTGTAAATCAAAGCAACAGGAAATACTGTTTTTCCACTCAAAAACTTTTGTTTTTGAGTGGAAAAACAAAAGTTCCTTTTAATGCCATACAAATATGAGACAGGAACATGGATTATATCTTCATATAGACATGTCTGTTGATTTATAGATTAATAGTTTTCTTGAACAGAAATTACAAAGAACAAATCTGGTTCTTCATCAAATCCTAATGAGTCAAACTGAAAGTGTCATGGAGTCATCAGCCTCATGACATCAACACTGACATGAAAAATAATATTGAAGAAATAAATATATCAATCTAATTAAAAACATAAATAAGTGATAAGTTCTTTACTGTTATGGTCTGTAAGATAAATTTATTCTCAGCATTAGATATGGTGTCAACAAACCCATGGCACTTCATCAATATTATTTTATCTTTTTCTGGAAATGGTGTCCGTTTATTCTTGCCATACAGTCCTCTGTATTAATTATTGCTCTAAAGGTCTTGCCATACCAGTTTATTCCTCTGTATTTACTTTAGTTTCTTAGTTTATTCTTGCATTTTGTTTTTCATTCATTTACATTTAGTTTCCTTTGATTAGTATTATCCTCTCTTGGTTTATTGCTATGTCCACTTTAGTTTCTTTCCTGTTAGATTTATTTTATCATTTATTGACCATCATTAATCTTCACTCATCACCTGCTGCGCCGCCTAATCATCATGTTTCAAATCTTGTGTTGTTTTTTTCACTGTTCAGCGTCGGATTCTCTGTTTTTATGCCATAATTCACATCTAGTTCGTCGCTCCGTTTTATGTCCCGCTTCTCCTGTTTCAGAGTTTTGCGCGATGTGCGCAAAACGTATCGAAGCGTATCGATGGGGAAAAGGCAGACTGACATAAACCTTTTAAAACAACGGAAACAATTTCGGTATTCTGATTATTGAAATTTAAAAGTGCTGTGGTACCGTTGTTCTATCAGCCCCGTTTCATACCGGACCACTTACAGCACCGGTGTTAACGCTATAAAATGAACGCTCTCTATTGTGGAGGGATTTCTTTATTTAAATGGGTTCATTTTTCAGAGGGATACACAGTGAAGGTATCGTGATTTTAGTAATTACATATTTATAAGAGCGATTTTCTGTTGTCCTTCCATGGAAGTGGGCAGCATCCAGACGGACTATAGAATATGTTTTAATATAAGTTGCTGCTTTGACATGATCACAGCACTGCCAAAACATATGCACAAAAATTCTCAATAAAACATAAAATATTTGAAAATCAGACACCAGACAAGTGAATCACAGCAACGTCATCAGCCGGTGTAACGCTGAACTGATGCGGTGAAGCTAATAGTAGCAGGAGCGGAGCTACAAGCTACAAACACTGAATAGAAGAAGAACTGCCATAGATACAGTTGCACCAAGCATGTTTTGATGTTACACAATACAGTTTTAGGAAGTTGCTCAAAGTCTAAACTGGTATTGTGATTGTAAGGTGTAAAGTTTACCTTCGACCAAACGCCCCCCAAAGGAATCCCAGCGCCCCCCTTTTGTAAAAATTTCCGCCAGCTTCCCGTCTTGTCCCCTTTCCTTTGCCCAGCACCACCTGTTTTTAATTCCTTTCTCAAGTAAACGTGTTTCTTTACCGGGTGAGACAAACTCCATCTTCTTTCATATCGCATTTGATTTAACCGAACGCATGCACTTCTTTTCTACAAAACGTTTTACAGTCATTGGTCAAGAACACGGGAGCTAGAGTTCTGATTGGCAGACATCTTTTTCTATTATCTACAGTTTAGTTGAGGCGGACCGTTTGGTCCATGCTCGCTTTGCTTGGAAGTCTGCCTCCCAGACGGAGCTCTTTACGCCTAAGTTTCAAGCGTCTGCCTAAATAAATCTTCCTTATTTTAATTGTAAGTAGTTCTTTAAATGTCCTGTGAGATTATATACTTACCCATGTATCCATAACAAGCGGAACTTTCAATATCCAGCAAGTTATTTTCGCAATTTACCGTCTATTAAATGAGTGCCCCCCGGATTAATTACACTCTCTGCCGCTGCAGCTGTGAAGTTACCGTATTAACCCGATATTTGCTGAAAAGTGCAACGTCTCCCTTTTCAGAAACCGTTGAAATTTTTCAGATAGCGCTACGTGTGGCGGAATTACGGTACTGCAAATTTAGAGGTGTCGCCGCCACACGTTCCGGTCTAGCCCGGAGACTACAGTTTGGTTGAGGCGGACCGTTTGGTCAAAAGCCGGATATCCGGCCCCCGGCCGCAGCTCTTTAAGCCCTGGATACTATTTTGTTTATCAGTTTTGTTTTGTTTTTCATCCTGGGATCCTTCTGTCCTCTAATGTTTCTTGGTTTGGTACCTGAATCCTATGGGATATGTTTGCATCTCTGCCTCTTGCTGTAGTTTATTGTACCACTTTGTTGCGCTTACTAGGGAAATGGATGACACAATAACAAATTTTGCTAAACAAATTGTCCCTGTAATTTTTATGATAAACTTATTTATTTTATGATAAATAAAATATGATTGTTTTAAGACAATTTTCAAGTCATATAATGGTAATGACATAATAATACATCAATAAGACATACTTTCACAGTTTAATCATATCAATCTTAAAGCTAATGTAACTTTTTTTTAAACTCTGTGTTTTACATATTTGTTATAACTGTCACTGTTGTGACAGTATGTTATGAGATCTGTGAAAAAAATCAAACGGCTCCATCTTCTCTTATATGCTACTATAGAGATCTGCAAAAATTCCCTGCTCCTGGTCAAAAGACAGCCAGTCAGAGCCAGAAGGAAGGTCTTAGTCCTGACAATCAGGACTAAGATTGTGCAGTGTAAGCGCTGCTCAATGTGCTAATTTCAGAGAAACAATTTATTGTTTCCACTGATCTCTCAGTATGGTCTGAATACCTGGATGTGTGGAAAGGCATACAATGTAGAAATCCAGACACAACCAAAACTAAACAGGGTGAACTCTCTACTGAACTGAGGAGCCACCCTGATGAGCAGGCAGGAGCAGACCTGGCCCAGGTGCATCTCATGCCACTAATAGTAGGTTCCAACCTGAAACACCAAACAGACCCTGTAGCAGTGGGTTCATCACCATGATGTCTAAAGTTAATTTCTGAGTGTACAACAATCACCAACCTCAACTAATCTCTAGCCCAATGTTTCTCTATTTCAGTCCTCATGGACTACTACCCTGGATATTTTAGATGTGTCTCTGTTCCAGAACATCTGATTCATATGATAACAGCACCTCTATTCATGCATCAAGTGCTGCAGAAGCCTGTTAATCACCCACTTATTCAAGTGAGAGAACACCTGGGAACCTAGGACATTAAAACACTTTCTTGGTCCTGCCATCTTGATTATACCATGGCATCATACAGGTCTGAGATGTTGAAATATGACAGGAGCATTGTTAATCTAAGCTCATGAGTGTACTGACCGAATGGTACAGTGGAAACAGAGATCTGTTTTGCTCTCTGGGTCAGTGGAATGTGCCAGTCAAAAATTCTAATTTACCACAAAACTGAGATGAAGCTACCTGTTGAACACATTCCTCAATGTGAGGTACTTTTAACTTGGACTGCAACATTACAAGAAATCTCTTTATAATTATTGGCCTGTATTTTTCCTTTTCAGGATTATTTCGGTGGCTGTATGAAAGATTTCGTCTTCCTGTTGCTCCAATTTATGGGGGATTTCCTGTGAAATTTCGGACCTTCCTTGGTGATCCTATTCCATATGACCCAAACATCAATGCTGCTGAGCTAGCAGAAAGAGTGAGTTTTTTTTTTCATCCTTTTCTATCTGTCTGAATTTAATTGATAAATATCATGCTTTGGTGAAATACATGAAAAATATGAAGGCAGGTGCAGATGAGATCTTGGATCTGCAACTGCAAATAAAGGTTAAATAAAAAAATAAAAAGTCAAATGATGAATAAGGTGGTAAGAGATACTCATAGGTTTGCCAGAAATGCCACAGTTCCAATGACGGAAAAGAAATTAGTGAAGATGGTCTCTAAAGCACAGAAGAAGTGCAATATTGACTTCTACACTGCCAAGTCTGACTCTACCCAGTTAATGTGGTTTGGTTCTACCCCAGTTCAATTGTGACGCAAATTTGTATCTTTGTACAATTAACTTTTTTGTATCAAAGTGTCAATTATTTTTGACAACCCAAATTGTGTCTCTCACGTTGTGAAATTGAAGACTTTTTTTAATGGTTGTTTTGATACAAGTCTTATAACTGTTTTTGTTGTCCAGGTTCAGCAGGCGGTCCAGTCTTTGATAGACAAACACCAGCAGATCCCTGGGAGCATCTTGAGAGCCTTGTTAGAGAGATTCTACACAAAACACAAAGATTTCCAACATCAGAATTAAAAATGATTTATGATCCGATTTGGATGTAAGAAGATGAACTTTATTGTCCCAGAGGAAATTTGTCTTGGGTACAGACTTTGACTGCTGCGTAATCCAAAACAATGCCCATCCCATTACATTCACACATCATACCTGTAAGATTGAAGCATAACATTCTAACTTAGAAATGACTGGTTGCATTCTGCATGTACACTGTCCTATTGGCTGTTTGTATTATGTCACTTGGTGATTTCCTCGAATAATATGTCTCTCAATAATATGTTGTAAAAAGTAAAATAAATTTTATCAATATTAAATGTGGTAAAACTTAAAGAATATGGGAAGTATTTTTATGAATTGTACATGCATATGTGCAAAATGTCATTGTACATAATGAGTGGGTGTTTTTTTTGTTTTTTGTTTTTTCATTTTATATCCAAAAATTGTGAGAAGTGTGGGGTTTATGTTACTGTACTTCCAATTACAGTAAGATAATTTTCCGTACGAATGACCTCTATGCATCATGAGCAATTGTACCTGGTTGTGGTCCTGTCACTTTGTTTTGGTCTCACTAAAGGGCAGTGTTTCCTAACCCTGGTCCTCAAAGCACACTGCTCTGCATGTTATAGATATTTCGGTTACACTTTATTTGAAGGGGGGTGAATAAGACTGACATGACACTGTCATAAAAACCTGTCATGAACATGAATAAGCCTTCATTAATATTTATGACTGTTGTCATAAAGTGTCATTCGGTAAATTTTGACACTTTTAATACAAAGTTGACATTATTCAAAATGTCTTTGATATGACAACTTGACATTAACAAAGAAATCAATACTGATATAAATTTGTTATAAAAGTATTACTGATTGCCCTTTAAAAATTAGGTATCTTTATGTTATTAAAGGTAAAGTTTAAACAGTAATGATTTCCTGGTTAATGTCAAGTTGCCATAAAGACATTTTGAATAATGTCAACTTTGTATTAAAAGTGTCATAATTTACCGAATGACGCTTTATGACAACAGTCATAAATATTCATGAAGGCTTATTCATGTTCATGACAGGTGTTATGTCATGTTTATGACAGTGTCATGACAATCTTATTCACCCCCTTCAAATAAAGTGTTACCGATATTTCCCTCCTTAATGTGCCTCATTCGGTTGACTGCAGATCAACAAACACCTGTTAATTGAAATCACCTGTGCTGAAGCAAAGATACATCTAAAATATGCAGGGCAGTATACCTAGAAGACCAGAGCTGGGAAACATTGCGATAGGGAGTGTGGATCGGTGAAGTGATGTTATACCCAAAAATCTCTCCATAGCACAAAACTTTTGATTCTCAACAACTCGCTTGTCGCAAATCTTTCACATTGATATTTGGAATGAACTTTGTGATCAGCTTCACTCTTTCTGAGATTAAGCTTTGGTGTCGTCAGTTGTTTTTTTTAGCAGGAAAGATCAGCTGTTTTTTATGTATTTATATTGAAGTTGAGAGGTCTGTGATCTTAACTCTACGAATATATAGACAAAACAAATTCACATGAAGGTTAATAAGTTCAAGAGATGCTGAAAATATTAGAAACTTTTGTTTGGGATGGTGGTGGTGTATCACACTTGGATGTATTTACATTTACATGTGGTGATATGTAAAAGGTACATAATCATCTATAACTGTGTTATTTAATGTTGGTGCTCTCCTATTTCAGCTAACTGAACAGACTGCCATGAAGACAATTTATCACTTTTGATTAACTGCTCTACATTTTAAGGGAGGTTCTATTCTCACCAGCTCACATACATCCGAGCTGTTTTATAACAGCTCATATGTACCTTCTTTTATGTTTTGAAACTCAAACTGTTTTGCAGACATAACAGCATAAGAAATGTCCTTGTTACACGTTTAGCTGCTGTGTTGTCTTTGAAAAATTCCCTGTTATTTTTATGTAGTTCATAGTACTGCTTGAAACAAAACTACAGACATTCCTTAGACAACTGCCTTTAGTCATGGTAAATTGCTGTCGTGATATTCTGTTATAAACCAAATTTTTTGCAAAACATCAGAGCGCTTAAGTTATCTTTTATTTTGAAAATACTTTTCTGTGTACTAGAAGTCCTCATTGTGCATTTTATCATTTTAGGTTTTGCAGATGTTCAATGTGTTAGCTTTGTAAAATTAAAAATGTCCATAAGTAGTTATGTTAAAAGAAGTGTTGTTCTTATGTTGTTCACCTGAGTGAACATTTGGACAAATTCTACAAAAAAGTATTTTTTACAAAAAAAAAAAAAAAAAAAAAAAATCCCCCCTTATTTTTATGCCCTAAGAAAATCAAAAACACTTTTGAAAAAAAACTTACAGGATCATAAAACATGCATGAAAGGGTTAAAAATTTACTAATCTTGATCCAATTTGGCAGAATACATTCAAAACAGCTGAGTGATAAAATGCCAGTAAAACACTCAATCGTCTTATCAAATACTGTAGTTTAGATGGCTGCACAAAATTTGTGGTGGGCTGGATTTGGCTCACGGGCCCTGAGTTTGGACACGTATAACACTTTTTTCTTTGTGTTCTGTGGTCCTGTATAATCAGAGTTCTCAGCAGACAGGCTCTGACTCTGTGTGCGTGTGAGTTTTATCTTTGTTTTGGCAAGGCTCTAAAAGCAAAGGTTGTTACCTGTAAACTGAACGTGCTTAACGTCGCCTTTATCTGGGCAACAAACGGAGTGCAATAAAACTCAGCCTGCAGTTATAAAATAAAACGGCAGCCTTTTGAAAATCTATAAAGTTAAATTAATGCAATTTAAGTTTGATTTCTGTGCAAATGCCACCCTAGTAAAAAAAAGTGTGCTAAGTATGTTAAAATTTAACATACTTAGTACACTTTTTTTTACTAGGGTGGCATTTTAACATACTTTAGCATACCTCGAGTACACTTAGGATTAATATAGTTAAAGTGTGCTTTTTTGGAATAACATTTTTGTGCTTAGTGTATTTTAATAGTATTTAAATTGTAGTAATGTAAAATTTTAAGTACACTAAGCGTACTTCAATGTACTTTTTTGGAACAACTTAAAATACACTTAGAATACTTTAATATCTTTCCATCCATGATCTGAACACGTTGATCCTTGCAGGATGGTGAGGGAGGCTGGTGGTGCCCATGTCCAGTAGTAATCAGATGAGAGGCAGGGCTCACCCTGGACAGGTCACCAGTCCATCACAGGGCCCTGAAAGCTAATAATGAATAAAATATATGAAATGGTAGATTAACAAGGGGAATAAATTCTGTTCAATTATTTTCAAATCAAATCATGTTTATTAAGCACTTAGTGTTGGAAACACACCAGTTTTTACTGTTAAAAATGTGGCCAGCTGCTCAGTGTAAACATATATATAGATATAGATACACCCTTGTTACCCTACTTAACCCATTTAACAAATATTCATGGACCACCTAGCTCGAAATTATTCTTGCAATAACACATCTTAATATACACAACCTGAAATGAAAATATCAGTCTCTTAACCCTTGTATGTAGAAATGGGGTCCAACCAACCCCACAGATGTAAAACTTGTATCATTTGCCTCAGTCCTCGCACGCACAAGAGTTAAATCACTTGTCTTTGATCATCTTAATGAAAAGGGTGGTGCTATTTTGTAAATGTGACTGACCATGACAAAATCATGATAAAGTCTGCTTGGGTTGTTTTGAGTTATTTATATACTTTTAAAGTGTGAATTCTAAGATTTTCAATTACGTCAAAATACATGAAAATAAAGATGTTCTTTACTACCAAGTGGTGTGTGTGTGTGTGTGTGTGTGTGCGTGCGTGCGTGCGTGCGTGCGTGCGTGCGTGTGTGTGTGTGTGTGTGATAATGTGGTGTGGTGGTGGACCCAAACGAAGTAGTCATAGAAATAAGTGGATGTTTAATGAACAAAATAAACCAACAACAACAACAACAACAACAAAAATCCAGGGGTACAAGAAAATCCAAAGCAAACTGGAAACACGAGGGAACAACAGGTAACCCAGGAGGGTAACAACGGTAGTAACGATCAGGATGACGAGACGGACTGCAGAGTGTGACTGAGACAAGTGGATTGATACACACTGTCAATACACAATGACAGTGTGCATTGATAACATTTTATGGCTATTTGTGATTTAGGTAGTGTATGGAACAATGGGCATAGCTAGATGCCCATTGTGTAAGTGTGACTAGTTGGCACAGGAACTAGCTGAGGGGCAGGGAGGTGGCACAAGGAAGCTCAGAAGATCTGCTGGGGAATACAAAAGGGAGGAAACGGGGAGCTGAAAATACTTCTATGCAGAAGACACACTAAGAATAAAGATAACCTGATAAACTAGAGAAAAAGACATGAGGGGAAACTATAACGGAACCTAAATGGAAATCAGGCTGATCTAACAACAATAAGAACAAAAGAACATCAAGCTAGAAGACCTAAACAAAGAAATAACCTGTGTGTGTGCGTTCTTTTTCCAGTACTGGAAAAAGAAATAAAGCTGATGCTGGATTTGGGTATAATTGAAGAGTCTAGTGGTGAGTGGTGCAGCCTGATTGTGCTGGTAGCAAAGAAAGATGGCTCCCTTAGATTTTGCATAGATTTTAGAAATTTAAATGCTGTGTCCAATTTTGACCCATGGGTTGACGCCCAGGGTTGACGACCTACTGGAGAAAGTCGGTTCAGCAAACTACGTCACAATGCTGGATCAGTGCAAAGGATACTGGCAAGTGGCTTTGGCACCAGAAGCAAGAGAGTTGACCGCTTTCAAAACTCCTTTTGGTATGTACCAATTTAGAGTCATGCCATTTGGGCTCCAGGGTGCGCCAGCAACATTCCAACGTTTAATGGATCATGTCCTGAGAGATGTTTCAGGGTGTTGTGGTATACAGGCAGTCCTGGGAGGAGCATCTAATTCACCAACAGGAGGTGCTACACCACATCAGACTGGCTGGCCTGACAGTTAACCCAAAGAAGTGTGCTGTAGCCTAGAGAGAAGCGGAGTACTTGGGTTTTGTCTTGGGTTTGCAAAAATAAACCCTCAAGTGGAGAAAATGGATGCAATCCAGTCCTTCCTGGTTCCAACTACAAAGAAGAAGGTGAGAGGATCTCTTGGTTTGGTGGGCTGGTACTGGAAATTTATACCTCCTTTTGCAAAGCGATCAGCTGTACTGAACCATCTAACAAAGGGTGCAGCCCCCAACAAAGTGTGCTGGGCGGTTATGGACTGAAGTCACCTGGAGGCGCGTGGCTGGCGAGAAGACGCGGATTTCATTTAAACGTTTACTGGCGTCTACTAAATTAATCCGAATGTGGCAGTATGCCCTGTAGCATTTGAACGCACCACACAAGTGCCTGAATTTAATTGGTTGTGGCGCTGGCTACCTGTACTGTATATATAGGGCCCTCCCTCACCTGGTTGACATGTTGTTTTCCTTGGGCTCCAGGGTGCGCCAGACCTCGGCGTTTGTTGGAGCTGCACGCTAGCTGCAAATTAATGCGTGCG